TTCTTATGGCCTGTGATCAAGCTATTGACCTCCTTTGGGCTTTAGTTTAGTTTAGTTTTGTTTTTTGTACAATGGATGAACTAGACTCAAAGATTAAAGTTATTATTTCAGAACATTTTTTTTTAAATGTTTGTTGTTTTTTTTTTGTCGGTCATGGGGCTTGAACTCTGGGCCTGGGCGCTGTCCCTCAGCTCTTCAGCTCAAGGCGAGCACTCTACCACTTGAGCTACAGCACCACTTCCGGTTTTCTAGTGGTTTATTGGAGATAGGAGTCTCACGGTCTTTCCTGCCCGGGCTGGCTTTGAACCGCGATTCTCAGATCTCAGCCTCCTGAGTAGCTAGGATTACAGGCGTGAGCCACCGTCGCCCGGCATTTCAGAACATTTTTAACAGGATGATGTTGTACTGTTTTTATATTTGGCAGCTAGAGTCCTTACAGAGTCCTAGAGTCCTTGAGAAGACTATATGTGTGGCAGAACATCTTTGCATTCTCGATCATTTTGAAGTTCCCTGTTATCTGCCTTATTCATGGCTTATTCCTGTAATCCTAGCTACTCAGCTGAGAGCTGAGGATCACAGTCCTAAGCCAGCCCAGTCAAGAAGGTACATGAGACCCTTAGCTCCAATTAAACACCAAAGAAGCCAAAAGTAGAGCTGTGACACAAGTGTTAAGCGTACTAGCCTTGAGAAAAAAAAAAGCTCTAGGACAGTGCATAATGGTCCTGAGTTCAAGCCCCAGGACTGGCACCAAAAAAAAAAAAAAAAAAAAAAAAAAAGCCACCAGGCATTACATTGCTCTTCTTCCTGTTTTCTGGAAGATTCTAACAAGGTAATGGCAAGGATATCCGACACTGCCTCTAAGCATCCCTCATAATAATCTCAGCAAGGAGGCTTGGGACACTCCTAGCTAGGACAGGGATGCCTTCCTGCCCTTAAAGCAACTGTGACCTTAAGGTTACCTTCAGCGTATTGCTGGCTTCTGTAAGTGTCTCCCATTTGTCTCCCCTATCATTTTTCTTTCAAAATTTCATCTTCATTTTTTTCCAATTTCCACATATCTGGCTCTTTTTTTAACTTCTGAAGCACATAATCCAACTGGCTGCTCTTTACTATTTCAGAAAAGAGTTAATATTGTTTATGAACCCTATGTTCTAAGACACAGAGAAGACTGGAATAGTCTAAGTTCCTTTCTTTTAACCATGTTGACTTTAGCCAGTCTGTCCAGTTGGGAATGCTCTTATTTAAAATCCAGATTAGGGCCTTGAAATGAAGGTAGATGATTTCTTTCTCAGCCTTTATCAACCTGGCCATCACTTTCCCCCTCTGAAAATGCCCAGCTGATGTCAGGAGATGAGAGGGCAGTAAGTGTCCAAAGGAAGAGTTAAAAACTAGTCAACCTCTCCCAATATCCTTAGCTAGCTATTGGACAAATCCTGATTTAATCTAATAAGATTTAAGCTAATAATTTATTCAGTGGTGACTTGAGCGAGTGACACAATACATCTTCTGGCACATTCTTCTTCCTGGGTTTTACAAAAGCTAAACTGGTATCACTGTAGATCCCTGTAGACACTGTAGGACTTTAAGGGTCAGTTCAGCTCTAGAGATCAAGACGCAGGGTTGTTTCACCATAATAAGCCAGGGTTGAACCCAGAAGCACTGATTTGTTTTTTGCAGACACACAGACCTGTGGGACCTCACTGCATAGTTTCAAGGCTGTTTACCAGGGTCAGGCAGACTCAGTGCTGAATGCCAGCTCTGTCATGTACCACTACCTGTGTCACTTGGTCTAGCACTTCTCAAACAGGGCAACCTGAAGGGATGTCATGTGCACTAAGATGGTGCTGTCTTTGGCTCCTGAGGTCAGGAAGGGCTTGAGACATAAGCTTCTAGCTGCAGCAGCCTCATCCCCACAGGCCTCATAAACACCACCAGGCTCTACGGAACCAAGCAAGGGAAACTGTGGCGACACTGGCTCAAGTTCCCTTTATTTCCCTGCTGAAAGAGTGAGATGAGGAATGATCCCTGGGAAAGACTTAGCCCAGGGGCTGCCTCGGCTCAGCCTGGGTGCATTTGGGCAATGAGTGAAGGTGTAATAAAAGCCTCTTACTGGGGTTGGAGGTGTGGCTCAGGTGGTAGAGAGCCAGCCAATGAGCAAAAACATCATATATGGAGTTCAAGTCGTCATCTCAAAAAAAAAAAGAACCTCTTACTCCTGACATGGTCTCAACCTTACTCTGACACAGTAAGTCTGATTTGTATACTACAAGGGGCCATGCACTGGTTAGCAGAGACTCACAAATGAGATGGCTGTAGATTCAAAGCAATTCCTCATTTAAGGCCTGGACACCTGACGGGGGGCTGGGGGTGGGGGTGGGGTGGCAGAGGGAAGACACACAAACTGTGATTTCTCAATGGGCTCAAGTATCTTCTCCCCAGATTTTTTTTGGGGGGTCCAGTCGTGGGGCCTGAACTCTGGGTCTGGGCGCTGTCCCTCAGCTCTTCAGCTCAAGGCTAGCGCTCTACCACTTGAGCCACAGCGCCAATTCTGGCTTTTTGCTTATGTGGTGCTGAGGAATCGAACCCAGGGCCTCAAGCATGCAATGCAAGCGCTCTACCACTGAGCCACCTTCCCAGCCCAATCTTCTCCCCAGATTTATGTGCCTATCAATGATACACAAAAAGAAGAGAAAGTGTAGGAAATGTGTTTCCTGCTCCACATCACCATACATACACTTCCGGGGTCCACTAGCTCCTCCCTCCAAGTCTGAGCCCCTGAAATGGAGGTAGCAGTGCTAAGTGTAAAGAAAACCCTCTCTGGCATTTGAAGTGTGCTCACTGAGTGGACTTTGGGGACATTGCCACGTCTCAGGCTCTCCTTCATCCTCAGCTGCCCCCTCAGAGCCAACCAGACACAGCTCTTGAGTTCTAGGCATTTTAGTTATCTCTTACCTGGTGTCTGTAGCACTGCTCTGACCCCCACCTTATGATCCACAGGTGAGGCAACTTTTCTACAATGTGGCTGTTATCCTGTCTCCTCACTGCCTTCCAGATACTTCCAGGATCCTCAGTTTCATCACTTGCTCCCTGTGACATCTGTTGACTCGTGTCCCCTGACCCCACCTCACCTGCACCCACCTCCCTGGTTCTATATGCCTCCATATATATGCTATGCTTTTTCTCATGCCTTTACTTGTTCTGGAATGTTCTTTCTCTTGCACCCATCAGCCACCATCCTGCCTATCCAGAGCTTTTAAGATCATGCTTCATGTATCCTTCCATAAGCAAAGCACAGCACACGGTCCTATGCATTCAGTACTTCTACCATAACTAAACTGTTACGCAGCAATCCCAAAGCATCATGGTATTTCTTCCACAGACATCCACTCTGGACTGCAAGTCTCTCCAGCAAAGCACAGTTTCTAATTTACAAGCTTTCACCAGGCCATGCTTTGATATCCTGGAGCCTCACATGACACATTGTAAGTTTGCTTATTATAAACTCGTGGAAAAGTATTATATATGAATGGAAGCAAGATAATCGTCACCAGTACATCTTTCATTGTAGAGCAAAGAAGAGTTCAGTGTGAGTCAAACACAGGACCACACTGAGGAGGCAGAAGTAATTTCAGAGAGAGTTTCGTGAGAAAGAATTAGGAAGCTTTCACTCTTTGAAGCCACAGGGCATAAAGAAGGAAAAAAAGCAAAACATGTGAGTCACAACTAAATCCTTGGAAAACCACTGAGCTATGAAAAGGTCCAGGGTAGATCTGTAACCCAACCCAGAAAAATACCTTTCAAAGGAGAGAGAAGGGATATGCATGGAGGATTTTGAATCTGCTTTAGGGAGCAAGTTATGCTTCACTTGTCATTATAAACGTTTTATATTAATTTTTTAACGTCAGAACAAACTAAAAAATAACAAACCAGCAACAGCATCAAAGATTCAAGACTCTTTCATAGGCAACCCATAGACTGTCTTTTGCAAGTTCAGTCTTGTACCTAAATGGACTTGGTCACTTCCTATGCAGAAGGAAATCCATCTTCACCATTTGAATAGCAAAGAAGAAGAAGAAGAAAAAAAAACTTGGCATAGCTCATACTTTCCCAGATAACCCTACCTGTTTTGCCTTTTCAAAGCTGACATTGACCCAGAGGGGATAAATTTACACTAAACAATGACGAGGAAGATGGTACAAGCTGTGCTCATGGCTGAAGAGCACTAAGACTTTTAATAATAAGGGATCTGATGAGCCGTGTCTTTTACAGCTTCTACACAACGTTACTAAGGTTCATTCTGGTCTTGATACCCAATTCAAGTGTGGAGGAGACCCCATTTTCCCTATGTATCCCCAATTGCCAAAAGCCAGCCTTCTTTGGAGCAAGTACAGACTCTATAAGATATCAGTATTTTGGACAAGGAGCTTCCCCTGCCTGCCAGGGCATAAACAGCTGGATTCATGGTCAGAGCCTTTGTCTCAGCAATCTTTAGAGAAGTCAGCAATATCTTTAGGAAGATCCAAATGGCACAAGATTCCATAAAGTAGCATGTCAGAAAATGTGCAGAGGCACTAAGATGGAGATGAACAACAACAGAAAGTCATACTAACTTGCCTTTCCAGGTAGGCTTTTGCTATGCTGTACCTCGCTAGTGTCTTTATGGGGAAGGCCCTAGAGGGGTCTTGGAGGAATGGAGAAGATCCTTCACACAGAGTTGCTCTACGTACATCTCTGACCCAAGAAGACTGCAACAGATCTGAAATGCCTTCCAGCTTCAGGGCTGTGAAATGGTCCAGCAGGTGTAATCCTTCCTAGTAATCTAACCACTGGATCATGAGCATCCCAGGAGTGATTTAAAACCACACTTTTGTCCTCAGGGAGTGGATGGACAAGTCTGCCTAGATTTGTGGTGGGAGAAAAGAGGGTTAAGTTTCTATGAGAATTAACTCGACTCAACTTTTTTTTTCTACAAAGAGACAACGAGACATTTCTCCTCTTACCTCCTGGATTGCCTGTGTAAATGGAGAGACAAAACCTCATTTGCTTGGTCCCCAAGAATGCAGCCAAATCCTTGATGAGAGCAAATCCTTGTACTTTGGATCCAATAGTTTAGGTGTCCATGGTGAAGGTACTAGGGGGAGGGAGACCCTGTTGGTTTTATGAGTCTGTGGGTCAGTTCAGACCGGCTGCCCCGACTCATCTGTATGCAACAGGTCTCAAAGAACATAGTTTACTTTATAACCAGATCCAAGAGTAGGCGTGGCAAATGGGCAAGATACACCAAAGGTGTTGAGCTGCCAAGACTAATTAAGAAAGATTGGTTTAAGGAACCACTTGATTTTGGGAATCTGAAGGCCAGTGTTCATAGGACCATGTCTCAGTCAAATGAATGCGCCTCCAAGGAGCTGGTTGTTCTAAGGTGGGGAGTCGGGGGACTTTAAGAAGCCCATCTAATGTGTCCCCTGCTCTCCTATCTAATAACTTACTCAGCTATCCTAAAAGTCAGGCTGACCTGACCTTCCTTTGGTCCTTCGCTTGTCACTGTGCCTATAGGACAATGTAGAACTTTATAACACAGACTTTGCAGTCAACAGATGGGGCTGAGCACCTGCTCCAAGAAAGATAATGTAGTGGGAAGATGATATGGGTAATGTTCTTGCAATTGGGTAAACCAGATAGAAACCCAATGTATTCTGCCCCTGCAGTCATCTCCTGTGGTCCCTCCAGAGAGGGAGTCCTCATGTTTTATCTCTGAGTTGTTTCCTTCCCAGATTCCTCCAGGTCAGGCTGCCTTCTGTGAACCCTCACATGGCTCCCCTATGGGAAGTATCAGAATAGTCTCCACAATGAGCTGTCCTGTGCACATGACAGCAACCTGTAGCCATAGACGGTCTTCACTGTCTGATGGTATGACAACCCTTACAAAAAGTGTTGGATGAAATGGATTCTCTCTCTTCTGTAGTGAAAGCACAAGGTGCATCTCCTTTTGCCTTTCTGCCTTCCACCATGGGAAGAGACAGCATTGAAAGGCAAATGTTTGAAATAGAATACCCTTCCCTCCCTGAGATGTGGAACTAGGAGAAATACATTTTAACTGCTTACAAATCACCTTGTCTTGTGTATTTTGTTACAGCAGCACAAGCAGACAGGTGTTAAATAAAACCTGTTGCATGGCAGCATTTCCCATGTGATGTTTGATCATAAAAGACCTTTACCAAGGAATAACAGTACCATGGAGAAGAGTGGGAAGGACAACAGGATGAGAGAATCAAAGCTAATGCTAACTGTAACCTTTCCCTCCATCCAGTATCTCCTTATGGACACTCCAGTCCCCAGAGGTTGCTTTCCTGTCCCTAGGTTTGTTTTTTCCACAAAAACAAACCTCCTTTCTCAATCTCCCACTGTGTGGCTCTCTACCTACCTCTCCTTCTCTTCCAACCCCATCCACGGGATATTCTCAACCCCACACTCACCTTACCCAACTCCAAGCCGACCACTTCTCCAGAACTGGGTATGAAGGCCACAAGGACATAGCCAGCAAACCTCCATATCTAAGGCTCTTACTGATGCGCTGACATGAATGGACACCCAAGGACCCTGCATGGTCACATGGACTCTTTCTTCAGCCTCCACACTGCAGCCTGCGATACTTCCTCTATCCTGTCCTCCTTTTCTCCTACATTCAGGGTCACCTTGAATCATAGCCTGATGGCTACTTCTGGCTTTCTGCCAATTTCTTCTCACCTGGACATCTCTTCTAGTAAAATCTGTACACTTTTCTTTGATTATATGCCCCGTCTCTTGCAGAATCATATTGGGATGTTCAGACAAGATGGGGATGGTCACTAAATTTGGTAGGAGAGATGTGGAGATCGAATGGGGGGTTTATCCATCCCATGTCCGGAGTAGTGGTCCCAGGAGCTGGTGCTCTGCTTCCCCACCAATATGATGCTGGGTCTACCTTTTCACTCTCCAGCTATCCCGCCCTGGGCTGTGGTAGGGAAAACACACATACCAACACGTACTTCTCAAAGGTAAACAGTACTTCTCAGAGACAGTGCAGAATAAACCCCAAATGAGGAAAATAAATGTTTTCTTAACAGCTTTATCCAATGGCAAGGTAGGGACCTCTTACACAATGACACCAGAAAGTCTTATTGTTGTGCCAACCAGGCAGTGACCTTTCCTTTGTCCCCCACCTCTTGCTCTCTACCTTCAAACCTAGGCTTTTCCATACCTCCCGGGAATGAGAAAGAGGCCCTTTGCTAAGCAACAGGAAGCGCAGAGCTGATGCATTTTTTCTGTTCTATAGATCTTAGTGTTTAATGAGCAAGTAAAGACTTTTGACCTGACATATTGTTGTACTTCCATGAAACTAATAGGACTCCTTTTTTCCATATCTCTTGTAGAGAAAATCTGCTCCTACTCTGACATCTGTCTGTGGCTCTATCACCTCTAAAGGGAGAGAGAGAGAGAGAGAGAGAGAGAGAGAGAGAGAGAGAGAGAGAGAGAGAGAGAGAGAGAGAGAGAGAACGAGCACCTAGGTCCTCAAGGCACAGCAGATAGTTGCAGTGTGGAAATCTCCCTCTCTCTCTCTCTCTCTCTCACACACACACACACACACACACACACATTCACACACACAGAGTCTAACCACATTGACTTTGTTGACATAAAGCATCAGCCTCAATGAGGATCAAAGTCCAAGGAGTGATTTCCTTAAAGAAATTTGGTAGGTGCTGGTGGCTCACTCCTGTAATCCTAGTTCCTGAGGAGGCTGAGATCTGAGGATATCACGATTCATTTGAAGACAGCTGGAGCAGACAAATCTGAGACTCTCAGCAAAAAGTGGCAAGTGGAGGAGGTATGGCTCGAGTGGCAGTCAAGTGAGAACACAGGTCCCGAGTGCAGAATCCAGCACTACAGCACATGGGTGTACACACACACACACACACACACACACACACACACACACACAGATACACACACAGAGGTAATTTGGAACATAATAAAAAGATTGCCCTATTCAGATCCTGTTTAACAGAAGCCATTTTGAAAAACCAAAAGCCTTTAGCGATGCCTGTCTGGTTTAGGAAAAAAAAATAGACATTCCAAGTCATACAACAGAGAAGAGTATATGACAGAATCCAGAGAGAAAGTCCCCTGGAGCAGGTGAGGGAGCAGACCATGGAAAGCCGGCAGGGATTAGCAAAGCAGAATGGAATTCTGGGTCTGGGGAGAGGGGAGGAGTCTGAGCTAGGCCTCTGCACACCGCCTCGTGCTTCATGCTGGCAACCTTGGGCCTATGGCTAGAGGGGTTAAAAAGAAGTCTCTCTTCCGGGCACATTTTTGGCATGTGATGAAGCTGAGGTTCCAATTTAGGCCTGCCACTGATGAGGAAGTCTGTCCTAGCCACTACCTCCCGGAGATGCTTGTCTGCAAACTAGACAAAATGTTCCCCGTGTTCTAAAAGGCTTGGATCTTTGTCCTGTGTGTGCTCTAGTTCATTACAAAGCGATTTTAACCAAAGACTCATATACATATTCTGTGCAGCGTCCTGAGTTCATCCTTTTGGGAATGGGAGGAGGGGGGTGCGGAAACAAAAGAATCTTAAGATAGCTAGGAGCTGGTAGATCACACCTGTAATCCTAGCTACTCAGGAGGCTAAGATCTGAGGACTGTGGTTCAAAGCCAGCCAGGGGATGCTTGTCTCCAATAAACAACTCAGAAACAACCAGAAGTGGCACTGTGGCTCAAATGACAGAGCATTAGCCTTGAACAAAAGAAATTCAGGGACAGCACCCAGGCCCTGAGTTCAATCCTCAGGACTGGCCAAAAAAAAGACTTTTAAGATAAAAATACAGTGAATTTAATGAGTGATTAGTTTTGTTTGTGTACAGAAATAGGAGTAAAGAACCCAAAGGTAAAAATCCACAGAGAAAGACTCAGAAAAAGACAATGTCAGTCAGGAGATTTTAACAAAATTTAGGAAGCAGGAAACAAATGAAGACTTCAGAGTTGTAAGCCCTGAACCCTAGCCTGTGAAGAAAGTCCACACAGGGTGAGCTTCCAGAATCTGGGGACAGGAAGACTCCAGGCACCTCTGACATCAAAGCTGATGTGGCTGACAAAAATAACCAAAGCAAAAGAAAGCTCAGTAGTAGAGTCTAGGCAAGGACGTGGCAAGGGTTGCAAAACAAAATAATAAATAGAAATTGAAAAACTAATTCATTAATTAACACAGTCTTCTTGCCCACCCCCTCCTTTTAAGATATTGGTGTTGGAACTCAGGATCTCACAATTGCTCTGCTGGTGCTTTACCACTTCAACCACACCTCCAGCCCAGCTTTTTGCTGAGATGAAGTCTAGAGGACTTGTCTGCTCAGGCTGGCCCAGAATCACTATCCTGTGACTCCCAGTGTCTTGGGTAGATATATTGTAGGTTTGAGCCATTGGTCTGTTTTTTAATCTTTGAAGAACTTTCAGGAAATGCTAGTATTAGGAGAAGGACTCTGTGTCATTCCGTTGGAGCCTCTGGCCTCCCTCAGACCACAACTCTCAGGGCCACAGAAGTTGGCCATCCTTCTTGCAGGGGAAAATGGTTCCATAACTGTGAGAGAGACCAGGAGGTGTTTTCACCCATCATGCACTGGTGGGGAGATGGAAAAGTGGAGGCGTCCTACATTCAACATAATCAACATCACCTGTTGAAAAAAACAAAAAAAAGCCACCCCACAGCCTTCCTAAAGGTTTGTCTGAGGGCAAGGCCTTTTTCAGAAATTCAACTCTCTAAAGTGAATGCTCAGTTTCTGGACTAGCAAGTTGGGATGTGGGTTTTATATTCCTGGTAGATGATATCTCCCATTAATGCTGTCTTTGAGAGAGCAGGTCTTGTTTGTTGATGTGAGAAACATTTGTAAAAGCCTACATGTGGTTTTTTTGTTTTGTTTTTTTGTTTTTTGGGTTTTTTTTGGTCCGGTCGTGGGGCCTGAACTCTGGGCCTGGACACTGTCCCTCAGCTCTTCAGCTCAAGGCTAGTGCTCTACCACTTGAGCTACAGCACCACTTCTGGCTTTTTTCTTTTTGTTTATGTGGTGCTGAGGAATTGAACCCAGGATCTCAGGCATGCAAGGCAAGCACTCTACCACTGAGCCACCTTCCCAGCCCCCCACATGTGTTTTATAGTCAGATAGGAACCGAAAGCAGTATCAA